ACAGGCAGTCACACACAGACAGTCACACACAGACAGTCATACACTCACAGACAGTCACACACTCACACAGAGACAGTCCCACACTCACAGGCAGTCCCATACTCACACAGAGACAGTCCCACACTCACACAGAGACAGTCCCACACTCACAGGCAGTCACACACTCACACAGAGACAGTCCCACACTCACACAGAGACAGTCCCACACTCACACAGAGACAGTCCCACACTCACACAGAGACAGTCACACACTCACAGGCAGTCACACACAGACAGTCACACACAGACAGTCATACACTCACACAGAGACAGTCACACACTCACACAGAGACAGTCACACACTCACACACAGTAACACAGAGACAGTCATACACTCACAGACAGTCACACACTCACACAGAGACAGTCCCACACTCACAGGCAGTCACACACTCACAGACAGTCACACACTCACACAGAGACAGTCCCACACTCACAGACAGTCCCACACTCACACAGAGACAGTCCCACACTCACAGACAGTCACACACTCACACAGAGACAGTCCCACACTCACAGACAGTCCCACACTCACACAGAGACAGTCATACACTCACAGGCAGTCCCACACTCACACAGAGACAGTCCCACACTCACAGACAGTCATACACTCACACAGAGACAGTCATACACTCACAGACAGTCACACACTCACACAGAGACAGTCCCACACTCACAGGCAGTCCCACACTCACAGACAGTCATACACTCACACAGAGACAGTCCCACACTCACAGACAGTCATACACTCACACAGAGACAGTCATACACTCACAGACAGTCACACACTCACACAGAGACAGTTCCACACTCACAGACAGTCCCACACTCACAGACAGTCCCACACTCACACAGAGACAGTCCCACACTCACAGACAGTCCCACACTCACACAGAGACAGTCACACACTCACACAGAGACAGTCACACACTCACAGACAGTCACACAGTCCATACACTCGCACAGAGACAGTCATACACTCACAGACAGTCACACACTCACACCAGAACAGTTCCACACACTCACGAACAGTCCCACACTCACAGACAGTCCCACACTCACTGAGACAGTCCACACTCACAGACAGTCCCACACTCACACGCAGAGACAGTCACACTCACAGAGACAGTCACACACTCACACAGAGACAGTCACACACTGACCTCCTTCTTAACTCCTGTTTGTTGCTCCTGCAGGCTGGTTGTTGGGGAAGCAGGGACTCCTTCCTGCTTCCTATGCTGCAGTCAGCCGGGCCCTGCCGCAGGTAAGCCCCGCCCCCGCCGCACGCTAAGCCCCGCCCCCGCCGCATTAAGCTCCGCCCCCGTCGCAAATTTTTTATTTTTTTATGATCCCGGCCGGCCGTGTGTGAGCTGTGCCGGCCGGCTCCCCCTGGCTCCCATGGGGCTCTGTGCTGCCGGAGCTGTCAGCCCAATGATTAGGGCTGTCAGACCGGCCCCAGGTGCCGCGGCCCACCGGGAAATTTCCCGGTGTCACGATTCAGACCAGTCGACCCCTGACTATGAATGTCCGCACAAACTTTGCCATGTACAGTGTATCATAGCAAAATGCTGCTCATACAGACTCCAGGCACCATAACCACTTTAAATTACTGAAGTGGTCATGGTGCTTTGAAGTAACCCTTTAATACTGCTGAGCAGACACTATGACATTAGTGGAAATTCTAATTGACTATACAAATCATGACTGACTAGTGTTTATGTTTACACGTTATCATGCTGCATCAAAATGAAGCAAATAACTCAATGATTATATTAAATAGGAATCATCATGATCATAGCTTAGTCATTGTTATTTCTTATTCGCATAAATCATTTGTGCCAATATTATAGTCAATTTGATATTTGACGCTCACTATTTTATACTTACAAAGCAACAAACACCTACTCTATTTTATAAGCAATAATGTGAAAATTGACAAACTACTGATGTGTAAAATAAGGTCAGTCTTTTTTTTTTTTTGTACTTTAGTCTAGTTCTGTCAACTTTATTGTTTTTGTATTTTCAATAAGAGATTATTCTTTGTTTTTGTAACAGTCTGGTATGTGCAAAAATTATGAATGGCTGATGAGGACCCATAGTCAATAAAGCCAGTTATTTGTAAAACAATGTGCATCCCACACTCTCCTGTCTTTTGCTGTGTTGTTGGAAATTGCCTGCTATTGATCTGGGTATAATCTGTGATGCAGTCAAGTTCCTTCTCTGGTAAATTGTTTTCTATTCCCCTAACTCAAACTATCAGTCCGTTCACAGACAATCAGCTCCATTATGCAAGCAAAGTCAACCTCAGGAACAAACTATAAAGAAAAGCCAGACCTAAAAATACTTCACAGTCGGTAATTATTTAGTAGAACTACATTCATATTAAATTATGGTAGTATCAAGCACTTATATTCTTACGATTACAATGTATGGAAATGCAATAATAGATCCCTATTATTCAGATTTTTTTTTCAATGTAGCTTATGAGCAAATCATCGGCTATCAGTCTAAGTCACCATCATAAATTCATAAAGAGTGGTTGGGATATGAAACAGAAGTATTCGTGCATACACAGGAAAAAAAAAAACTATATACAACTAAAATTATATATCAATAATCCAGTAAAGTAACGGATGCTTTAAGATATTGCAAGTGAGGCTGTGCTGTAGGGACAAGTGGATCAGCGCCTTCCCAGTTCTGGTTAGATTTAAATAAATATGAAATCCATAGGCATTGCAAGGTCTAAAATATGTTGTGTCTATCATGATTAGTTCTGCAATTTAATCCTGACTCCTTTATTGATGGCTGCTGAAAGACTGAGCAACTAATCAAGTAAAGATTTTGGAGTAGTTTTTTAAAAATTGCCTTATTATCCAGGTTTGGACTAGACTTGGGCATTCGTATTTATACAAATGTACGAATACCAAATAACGAATGGGGAGCCGAACAAACAAACGAATTTGCGCCAAACAAAATTCTTCTATGCACCATTTGTTTATTTGTTTATTCGTTCATTCGCAAGTTGCATCTGGCATTTTGTATTACATTGTCTGTAATTCAAAAGGCCAATGGTGTTTTAGGCTCTGTCAATAGAGTTACAGGCTGATGTCCTCTTTAAAATGGTTGTTGTTACCCAAGTATTTGTGTCTCATGATTTATGGTGGCTGTTGTACTTTGCCATGTCAAGAGTTGAGTAAATGGGGTTAAATCTGCAGAGTCAAATAGCCAGAAAGGCACAGTAAATGTTTGGGGATAGAGATTAGCGCCCTTCCATTTTTGAACTTCATCAGCTACCACTGAGATGCTGGTAGACCCTAGTGAGAAATTGTAATAATGAGTTTCACCTAATTAATTCCTGATTGTAATGAGAAATAATTAACATGTAGGGCAACTACCATCATTCTAATCATTCTCATACAACTCAATGTAGTTAGTTTCACTTTAATAATATGCTGTTATAATGCAGCACCCATTCTCAATATAAGATACATGGCATCATAAAATGGTTATTTTAATTATACAGCCAAACAGTAACATTTGTTGAGAGATTCTACTTAATGTGATACACCAGGGGCATAGATAGGTAAGAGCTAGGGGGTCTTAAGACACAATTTTGGGATTCTATTAGCATCCCCTTCCTGCGTGCTGGCAGTCTTTTTCAGAGTGTCAAAGAGAGAGAGCCAGGGGATATCTGTGAGGTGTTGATAAGCAGAGACATGAGCTATTGGCGCGGGCTCTTGCTGTTAGAGGCTACTTCTTATGCTTTCAGAATTAAGATCCCACATCTAGCTTTACCCCTGAGTGGGTTGTGTGTGGGCCAGGCAAATGTGTAGATAATATGCATGCTGAGCTGATGGAGGTACCTGACATACAGAATCACAGTATGCCGATTGATTCAGTATAGGGAAACACAGTATGCCAACCAAATGATTCAGTGTAGGGAACCACAGTATGTCAACTGATTTGGTGTGGGGAACCCGAGTATGCCAACTTATTCCGTATAGAGAAGCACGGTATGCCTATTGATTCAGTAGTGAATCAGAGTAGGCCAACTGATTCAGTGTAGACAACCACAGTATGTCAACTGATTTAGTGTAGACAACCACAGCATGTCAACAAATCCAGTATAGGGAACAGAGATTACTATATGGCTAATTTTTGTTGCAATTTCAGATCAGCACTTTTACCTCTAGTGATCATTTTCTGCAACAATATTTACTCTCTTTTTTCT